GCTTCTGTAAGTAAGGAATTTGGGCAGGGCTCAATTGGGTGATTCACCCAAAGTCACTCATTGGTACTTAGCTGGCAGATGGGCTGAGCTGGAGAGCCTCAGATAGCTTTACTGACATGTCTGTCACCTTGGCAGGTGTGCTGCGAGGCTGGACTCAGCTGAGATTGTTGACCAGAGCCTCTTCATGTGGGTCAGAAGGTAGCCACGTTTATGTGGTTGACTGGGTCCCTCAAAGCAAGCAGCCCAAGAAATCAGGTAGAAGCTCAAGGCCTTTTGCCACCCAGCCTTGAAAGTCACATAGATCACTTCCACTGTACTCTGTTAGTTGAGCTGACTGGAGCCCACACAGGTTCAAGGGGAAGAAGCATCATTCTCTTGATGGTAGAACCACCACTCTGGCAAAGTGCTTGGTTTTGAAATTTTAGACCACCAAGGACAAAGAAGCAGCTAAGATTTTCTAAAGAAGAAACAAACCTACCCAAAAAATTGGGATTTCTAACTTACAGTGTTGCGTTTGAGAGTATATGGAGCAATACCCTTCATATTCTGAGAAAAATTATCTCCATTCTAAAAGATCTCAACCAAACTTGTAACTATGCAAGTACGAGGATAACAAAGATAGCTTTTTTTTTTTTTTTTTTTTTTTCCCTGAGACAGGGTCTTACTTTGTCACCCAGACTGGAGTGCCGTAGTGTGATCTCTGCTCACTGAAGCCTTCATCTTCCAGGCTCAAGCAGTCCTCCCACCTCAGCCTCCCAAGTAGCTGGGACTACAGGTGGGCACCACCATACCTGGCTAATTTTTGTATTTTTTGTGGAAACAGAATTTCGCTATGTTGGCCAGGCTAGTCTCAAACTCCTGGGCTCAAGTGATCTGCCTGCCACTGCCTCCCAGATTGCCAGGATTATAGGCATGAGCCACCATGCCCAGACTAAAGATAGTTTTTGACAGATGAGGCTTCTGAGGTTACTGGGAGTATTCTAGGTCTGACTGTTGCCTGATAGATATATTATTATTCTTAAAACTGTACATTTACGTTGTATATACTCTGATATGTGGGATAAATTCCACATTTAAAAGAAACCTGGTAAAGTATATGCCAGCTGTTGATAGTAGTTACCTCAGGGGATCGATGTTGCGGTGGAACTGAGTTGTACTTTCAAAAGCAGCTTTTTACAAAGGTTGCTTGAAGCTAATACATGTTTTTGATAGTTTATGAATTGATATATTTAAAATAAATAAAGCTGGCCAGGTGAGGTGGCTCACGCCTATAATCCCAGCACTTTGGGAGGCCAAGGCAGGTGGATCAGTTGAGGCCAGTAGTTTGAGACCAGCTTGGTCAACATGGCAAAACCCCATCTCTACTAAAAATACAGAAACTAGCCAGGTGTGGTGGTGCACACCTGCAATCTCAGCTACTCAAGCTGAGGCACTAGAATCTCTTGAGCCTAGGAGGCAGAGGTTGGAATTAGTCCAAGATCATGCCACTGCATTCTAGTCTGGGTTACAGAGCAAGACTCTGTCTCAAAAATAAAATAAAATTAAGTAAAGCTAAGGATTCTCCTTCTCAAGCTTCAGGAATGACCTTGACTAACGAGATTAATTTTAGTTCTTATGATTAAACTTCTTCCATCACCATCAGGTTTAGATTTTGTGTTAGCACTTACATTAGGTAGAAGAAAATATATAAAATTTTACACATAAGCAACGTGAAAATAATGTCAGAGTGAGAGTTAGTGCTAACGATAGATATACAAATTCATATACTTCCCAAGGTACCATTAACATTTTTTGTATGTGTAAAATGTTTTCATGGAATAGAGAAGTTTTGAATATAAATACTTCATGTTTTAAAACTGACATTTCCGCTTTTATGTTCAAATGTGAATGCATCAGTACAGAGAAAACTAGGGATAGGCCCTGAGTGACAACTGCCAGTTTAGGAATCATCTTGAAGGAAGAATAAAGGAACAGTGTGTACAAAGAAATAAGAGGGGCCTAATGTTGTAAGGTCAGAAAAGAATATGGTGAGGAGGGGCTAGTTGGAGATCAGAGTGGGGCAGGCCGGCAGGAAACAGACCCTGAAGAGACTGATGTGCTGTGCTAGGGCTTTTATATTTATTTATATCCTAGAGACAAAAGACCTATAGATCTAGTTAGCCAGCAGGACTTAATGGCATGGCAGTGGGCAGACGGTCTTGGGCCACTAAAGGCAGGGAGGCCAGTGAGAATGTCACCACTGTGGGCTGAAGACCTAGTAGGAAAAACAGGAATATAGTTAACCTGAAATCATGCTTGTTTGATTGGAGAGCTCATTTCTTAAGGACAAATAGGGGTTCTTTTGAGCAGTAGATCAGTGGGTTTATTACTGAATGCTGTCCTCAGATTGTGACTGTATCTCATTCACAAGCAACTAAAAGTTTGGCCTATATTGGCTTAAGGCGGGGGGGAAAGGTTCAAATAAGTAAAAGTCCAGAAGTTGGGCTGGCCCCTGCTGGGTGCGATTCGGAGCCTCACAGTGTCATTCAGGCTTCTTCTCTGCCTCTCTGCCGGCCTCTTTCTGTCAGCCTGGTTTTGAAGCCAGCCTCTTACAGGGTAGAGGGAGTGACAGTGAGCATGCTCCTGGGATCATATTCTCATACACTGTCCAGAGGTCATGTTCCCTCCTACATTCCCAGCGAGAACCATGAAATCTGCATTTCTGATTGGTCCCATGCCTCTCTCTTAGCCGGTCTTTGTGGCCAAATGGATGATGGGGGTGGCATTAATCCCATGCAGACACACTGTGGTTCTGGTCATTTAGGCACTGTTAACAAGAAGGCGTGGATGGCAGGGGCGTGTGCTCAGCGGCTCACAGAGCCTGCAGTGACTCCTGATGTATTTCCAAGTGGTGTGTGCTGCTTCTCCCCCAGTTTCCAGTCTCCCTTTTGATAAAGGGAGCATGGGAAAGTCAACCAGACCTCTGGCCTTACGTGACCTCACTGTAGTGTCTAGAAAAGTACCTGATAATAGAGTGTCATGCTGGGGAATTCCTTAGTTATATCTGCTTTTGGTACTTGATAAATATGTTCTTTCTTTAAGATTGGGACTTTCTGAGTATTTGACACATGCCTAATATTTTATGTTTATGTATAAGCAGACTTTTAATAGTATAGGATAGGAGACTAAAAGGGTAACAATAAGTGAAATAGAAATATCTTGGCTCTTTGTATACTCGTTCCTTTAAAATGTGATTAACAGTTTAATGGTGTTAAATTTTGGTTAAGTTATGCTACATTAACACAATACATTAAGCCATAAAAAAATAGCATGAGGGACCTCCCAAAAAGAAATAAAATGAACAGAATGCAAACAAGCGTGTGCAGTATACTATTGTTTATGTAGCTTTTACTACAGATTTAATGTTTCTTTTTTTGAGACGTAGTCTTGCTCTGTTACCAGGCTGGAGTACAGTGGTGCAGTCTCGGCTCACTGCAACCTCCGCCTCCTGGGTTCAAGTGATTCTTCTGGCTCAGCTTCCCGAGTAGCTTGGACCACAGGCGTGTGCCACCACGCCTGGCTAATTTTTGTATTTTTAGTAGATATGGAGTTTCACCATGTTGGCCAGGATGGTCTCGATCTCTTGACCTCCTGGTCTGCCCACCTCAGAGATTTGATGTTTCTTAATGAATTCAACCTAAAATTACAAGGCAAAACAGAACTTGTTTACAAAATTTATAATGTAATAAAGTCACTCTAACAACATTGTTGAATCATAAATAATGTCAAACTGATTTATATATTTTTTATTCTGTCAAAAGTTAAAACAAGAAGCGAACTCTCCATCCCCACAAATTTACCGTGGATAAGTTGTCCAGGCTGAAACTGCTGTTCCAGGAGCATTTTTCATACCTTGATACACAGTGCAAAGGAAATTTCGTTATCTCAAAATCTATTTGTGTACTCAAGTTAGTGAGGAGCTTTCAGTAACTTTCATTTCTTAGTATTAATTTGCAATATACTGACATGCTAGAAGGCAAATATCAAGATACAAATTTAACAGAATTCTATAAATGCCTTCTAACCAAATAATATGTTCAGTTAAACTCATGCTTGTGGATTAATACCAGCATTTGGCAGTTTCCATTTGTATGAAGACATTTTCAAAGATGAAATACGTCGGCTTTTATTATAAATCAGCATTAACAGGGAATTAGGTAAGAAAAAGAAAAGACGTCTAGATGGGAAAGGAAGAAGTAAGACCATCTCTAGTCACCAATGACATGATTTCGTGTAGAATATAAAGAAAACCGGCCGGGCGCGGTGGCTCAAGCCTGTAATCCCAGCACTTTGGGAGGCCAAGGCGGGTGGATCACGAGGTCAAGAGATCGAGACCATCCTGGTCAGCATGGTGAAACCCTGTCTCTACTAAAAATGCAAAAAAAAAATTAGCTGGGCATGGTGGCGTGTGCCTGTAATCCCAGCTACTCAGGAGGCTGAGGCAGGAGAATTGCCTGAACCCAGGAGGCGGAGGTTGCAGTGAGCCGAGATCGCGCCATTGCACTCCAGCCTGGGTAACAAGAGCGAAACTCCGTCTCAAAAAAAAAAAAAAAAAAAGAATATAAAGAAAACCCAAGGAATGAAATTAAGAAAACAACTCCCTTTGCAGTAGTATCAAAAAGAACATAATACTTAAGAAAAAATTTGACAAAAGTGTAAGAATTGTGCACCAAAAACTATAAAGCTTCATTGAAAGAAATCAAAGAAGACCTAAATAAATAGAAAACATCCCATTTTTGTGATCAGACTATTAAGATGGCAATACACTCCAAGTTGTTTTACAGAATCAATACAGTTCCTATTGGAATCCCAGCTGTCTACATCACAGAAATAGACAAGCTGACCCTAAAATGTGTATGGAAATGCAAGGGGCCTTTTTGTGACTGAATATGTGGGGTAGGTGGAACACAGTAGTGTCCGAGTTAGCCTTGGTCGTTTAACTTGGTGCAATTTCATTTCAGGAGAATGACATCTTCCTGGGCTGGGAAAAAGGAGCTTATAAGAAATGGGGAAAGAGTAAGAAAAAATGTTCAGATCTAACTCTAGAAGAAATGAAAAAACAGGCTGCTGTCCAGTGTCTTCGATCTGCTTCTGATGAAGTAAGTTTATATTTTATTTCTAACACTTAAGAGAATAAAAGGGGTGTTTTAACTTTACAGATATGACAACCTGACCTCCAAAAACTGGGAAAACAAACTACTTGTTTATCTTACCAAGTAACATGAACCATATCACTTTTCCTTTATGGTATTTTTCCATATTTTCTGAAGTTTTATAAGCTTTTATATATGTGGTACTCTTAAGAATATACACAAAAATTAATATCCTTTTTTCAATTTGACTATTTCATCCTGTTATTACATTGTCTTTATTATTTTTAGTGGCTAAGTTACATTTCATCAAATAATATTTCAACAGCACTATAATATTATAATCTTTATTACTGGATGTTTACCTTGCTCTTGATTTTTTTTTTTAAAAAAAGACAGTGTCTCTGTTGCCCAGTGCAGTGGTGCAATCTTAGCTCACTGCAACCTCTGCTTTCCAGGTTCAAGCAATTCTTGTGCCTCAGCCTCCCGAGTAGCCAGAATTACAGGTGCGTGCCACCACACCTGGCTAATGTTTTTGTATTTTTTAGAAAAGATGAGGTTTCATCATGTTGGCCAGGCTGGTCTCAAACTCCTGATCTCAGGTGATCTGCCCACCTGGCCCAGCCCACTCTTGATTTTTTTGTTATGCTGTCTAGAATATTTTATGTGTGATTTTTCTGGGGTCTGTATTACTACATTTGAATACATTTGTAGAAGGGAATAGCAGTTCAGACACTTCAAAAGCACTATATTGGCATATGATGTATATATTTTTGTTTTTAGAAAAATTATGATTATTTTATTTCATGTGTTTCTCATGTCTTTCAGTTTCCTAAAATAAAAAAATAATTTTACAGTATCATCTTTTGCAGTTAATATTATGAATTCTTATTTTATTATTCACTGTAAGAGGTAATCTTTGAGATCATAACTACTTAAAGAATTATTTTGCTTTGACTGCTGTTTGAGACAGCATGGGTTAAGTACCTTTATGATACAAGACCAAACTGAGGGAATTCTGACCTCCAGAAGCTAATTTCCTGAACTAATTGTTGAATGGTCTAGCGTTGGGATAATTGGCTTTCTTATCTTTGACAGTCTGCAGAAGTTTGTTCTGTCTGGCTGCCACTGATGCAAATGATTTTTAATGTTTATTTGTTTAGTGTTTCCCACAATTATCTCTGAGGCCAGGAACAGTGGCTCACGCCTGTAATCCCAACACTTTGGGAGGCCAAGGCGGGCGGATCACCTGAGGTAAGGTGTTCAAGACCAGCCTGGTCTAACGTAGTAAAACCCTATCTCTACTAAAAATACAAAAATTAGCTGGGCATGGTGGTATATGCTTGTAATCCCAGCTACTCGGGAGGCTGAGGTAGGAAAATCACTTGAACCTGAGAGGTGGAGGTTGCAGTGAGCCAGGATTGTGCCATTGCACTCCAGCCTGGGTGACAGAGCCACCCCCCACCAAGAAAAAAAAACAAAAAAAACAAATTGTCTCTGAAAGCCTGACTCCCCTGGCCATGTACTCATGATACATTGTGTATACCTCAAATAACATGGCCCTCACATCCTAAGTTGCAGTTATTCATTTGACTGTGCTCACTGGGCACAAGGACTGTGAGTTACTGATCTTTTTTATCTTCTGTTGCATAGCACAGTGAGTGCTTATCACATAAAAGGTACTGATTTTTTTTTTAATGAATCTAACATTCATTTTTTAAAAGGCCTACCCTTTCATCCAGTTCTTTTTTCTCTTCCCAGCTGTTTGCTTCTCCTTCACCTCTGATTTTTTAACTTCTTAATTTCTCTCTCTCTTTTTTTTTTTTTTTTTTGAGATGGAGTCTCACTCTGTCACCCAGGCTGGAGTGCAGTGGCACAGTCTCAGCGCTCTGCACTCTCTGCCTCCCAGGTTCAAGCAATTCTCCTGCCTCCGCCTCCTCAGTAGTTGGAATTACAGGTGCCCGTCACCATGCCCAGCTAATTTTTAAATTTTTAGTAGAGATGGGGTTTCACCATGTTGGCCAGGCTGGTCTCAAACTCCTGACCTCAGGTGATCCATCTGCTTTAAAAGTGTTGGGATTATAGGTGTGAGCCACCACACCCCGCCAACCTCTTAATTCTGAAGCCGCTGCTTCATACAGCATGGGATAGGAGTTTGGAAGTTACCCCTTATATATACAGCTATCTTAGGCACGATTTCATTACAACAATTAGGAACATAATTAACCTAGTTTAAGAAAAAAATAGAAATATATGTAAAGGATATAGGGATATCTCACTGAAGCCAAGTGCTAGAAATACAGCAGTCTCAAGAGAGAGCTGAACTGGGAATTATGTGGTAGACAAAGTCACTTTCTGTAATAACCAATGTACAATCTTTCATTTGCGTCTGTACCTGAGTTGGGTCATTCCCTCTCTGTCTGAACTCTGGCTTTCTCTGCTTTAGCACATGGTAAAGAATGGCCATTCTGGCCTCCAGCCCAGCATAACTATGGAACTGTACTGCCCAACACCATTCAGCTAGAGAGAGAATCTGATTGGCTGGGCTTGAGGCAGGTGTCCACCCATGATTTGATAAGCCATGGTGAGGAAGCAGGGCTGCCTGGAGGTTCATCACTTCAGCAGGGGCTGTGAGTGATGTGCCCAGAGAAAACTCTGCAGAGAAAACTGTGTGGTTAAAATGGTGGGTTTTTTGGGTTTTTGTTTTGTTTTAATTTAAAAAATAGGGACAGAGTCTTCCTATGTTCCCCAGGCTGGTCTTGAACTCCTGGGCTCAAGCCACCCTCCCACCTCAGCCTCTCAAACTGCAGGGATTACAGGCCTGAACCACCATGCCTGGCCAAAATGGTGTTTTCTTTATGACACTGAAGGGATTAAATTGATAATGTAATTTATAGATTGATAAAGTAATTTAGAGCTTTTAAAGGAATTCAGAATACAATTTTTTTTTTTAAACAAGTGAAAAGTTAATTCAGGTCAGTTATTTGAGCAAAATCCAAAGAAGCTGCTGAGTTACAGTCAGAAAGAAAATATGGGTAGTGCATTTCAAACTGGGAGAGGATCTTATTTCTTTTTTGGACCAAAGTTGCTGAGAAATGAGCCTAGCCTTTGACTCACGGTTAAGCTGAGGAAATGACAGGGCAGCCGAAGTCAACTGTGAAAAAAATGAAGAGTATATGAGTAATGCAAGACTCTTCTCCTTTAGCTTGTTAATTTGCATGTAATTCATACTAACTGAGTATGTTGTGTAATGTGCATAACTTAGTATGCGGTAGAAACAGAGTAAGGGAATGGTTGTGGCTTAATAAGATCTTTGATTCTTTAGGTTATTGCTTTGGAAAAATGCTTTCCTTTGCCTGGCTGTCATAGGCGGGATTTTTATTTTCAACTCCAATAAAGCATATTTGTACTTTCTTGCTCTTTCCTTCTCATTTTATTTAAAAAAAAATTGTTGGATTGCTTTTTCTGAACAGTGATTTTTAAAATTTTAACAAATTAAAATTAGTTGAGGAAGTGAATGTGCCAGGCATGACCAGATGCTCAATCATTACTTATGGAATGAATGAAGAGAGTCTTCAAGTCTCAGTCCCTGCTCCAGAGCTACGTGCTGTTGTTTGTGCATCAATCTGTAGATCCCTTAAATCAGGTGTCCGCAAGCCCCTAGCCATGGCCTGTTAGGAACTGGGCTGCACAACAGGAGATGAGCAGTGAGCAAGCATTCCTGCCTGAGCTCTGCCTCTTGTCAGATCTGCGGTAACATTAGATTCTCAAAAGAGCAGGAACCCTATTGTGGACTGAGGATGTGACGGATCTAGGGTGAAAGCTCCTTATGAGACTCTAATGCCTGAGGTGGAAGTTTCATCCCAAACCCCATGCCTGCCTGCTGGGTCTGTGGAAGAATTGTCTTCCATGAAACCAGTCCCTGGTGCCCAAAAGGTTGGGGACCACTGCCTTCGACCAGCTCACTGGCCTCTTGGGGAGTCAATGAAAAGAACCCTCTTTAATTATTGCCTGCTGCAATAGAAAGAATCAAATGTGTGGCAGTTTATGAATGGTAGGCCATCTGTGTGTCCCCTGGGTTTATTTTTATTATCTGTCTATTGGCTTCAGTGGAAAGAAAGGAGCAAAGAGGACCTACATCGAAAATTATAATGCAAAATTTTATTTTATGCTTTTGTCAGGAATGTTTGCATTTAAGTATGCTCATTTCCTGAGGATCGTCACGTTGGTGGTACTGTGTGTGCTGTGTTTTCCCATCTAGTCCAAACGCCCTCTTAAAAGCGCTTCTCAGTACAGTATTTTAGACAGTCTCTACCAATTGGTCACAATTAAAAACCCTAACAATTCAACTTTATAATCTGGTAGGTTTATAATCTACTAGATTAAAATGCTAATGGCAATTACAAGACAATAATATATGTTATTATATTAGATAAAAGGGTAGGTAGGAAGCAGTGGGGTTACGCATTACATGTGAGATGAATTAGTTTCTCATTATGTCCATGTGTGTATGTGACTGTTACACTTAGCAATGTGAATTGTTTCTATAAAAGCATCTGTAGCTCTCAGACTATTCACTGGTGTCATGGTATGAGGAGAATGGCTTCTTCTCTGACATCATTTAGGTACTTGTGGTACTCTACGGTGCCTCCACTTTATCCTGTAACAATTTGTGCCCCACATTATAGCACACCTCTTGGCCTGCTCAGCTCATTATTTTATCTGAGCGACATTGCCAACACAGAAGGGCAATTCACTTGTGTCAGAATTTAATTTTATACATTGATTAAAGTTTGGCTGTCCCCATGCAAAAGTTGGCTGAGCAGTTGGTGAATATTTCTCTAGGGAATCATGACCTTTGATGGGCTTTATTGGTTGTTAGATCCCAGCTGAAAACTGCCTTGGCTAATTCCCTTTCATTTACATATGCAAATAATATGAAAGTTCATTTTTGATAAAATATTTTGCATTTACTCTGATTGCAGTTAGTAATGGGGTCTGTAAAGAGG